AGCACTGCAATGGGAATATCAGGAGCAGACACCGATGCTGCAAGTCTGCCCCTGAGGGTGTCCCCGGACCACTGGAGTGGCTCGTGGGCTTCAACATCATCCCCGTCATCGCCATCATCCCAGTCATCCTTGTCTTCGACCTCAGGCTCCAAGACGTCCCCGTTCCTGAGGCAGACGTTGTGCAGGAAAAGGCAGGCACAGATGACCTCAGGCACAAACTCCACCCTCACCTCCAGTGCCTTCAGGAAAATGGAGCGCCACCTGGTCTTGAGGACCCCAAATGCCCTCTCCACCAAGCACCGTGCCCTGGACAGCCTGGTGTTGTACCTGCCCTCCACAGGATTCCGGACAGGCTCCCGGAATGGCGTCAACAGGCAGATGGGCTCTGCCAAGCACGGGTATCCGCTATCGCCCAGCAGACACCATCCAGGAGGTGGGTACAGCCGGTGGACATAGAAGGGGCTGCACCTCAGGACCCGGGCATCATGGTCGCAGCCAGGGAAGGCCGCCACCACATCCAGAAAGCAACCCTTGTGGTCGCAGATGGCCTGGAACTGGACCGAGTAGAACAGCTTCCTGTTGTAATAGTCCGCTGCAAACCGCCCAGGTGGAACAATGCGGACATGGCAGCCATCAATGCTCCCTGCCACCCGCCCAAAGACTGGGGAACGAGACAGCTGCTGGAACCCGGCTCCAATCTCTTCCAGCTCTTCGGGGGTGGGGAGGCAGATGAGCCTCCTGAAAACCCCCTGGATGCCCTTACTGACCCGGTGGATCATGTCATGGCATGTGGTGCGGGGAATGTCAAAGGCCTCTGACACAACCCGGTAGGACGTTCCACAGGCCAGCCAGTACACAAACACCAGGACCTCTATCGACTTCCCCCATCCATGGTCCTTCTCTCCCAGGAGACGGATAAGGCTCTCCAGCGTTGATCTTGTTGTGCGGAAGTCCTTCCGCAGATCACCTCCCTCAAAATAGAGGCGCAACAGGGGACCATGGGGATTCACCCTGCAGTATCGCCGTCTCGAACCCAACTGTAAAGGACTATATTTAAAATTATTAATTGGACTATGTATTGAATGTTGTTAAATTGTAATTTCATATACATTATTAACTATTTAATGCAATTATTTATAGAGCAATTTTCTTAAATTATATGATAATTTAATTATTTATTGAACTTTTCTTTAAAGTGATTGAAGTAATTTATTAAATTTCTCATTGGAATATTTCTACGAAATTATTGCATATTGACTGTTTTTTAAAGATTTAATTCACATTTACCATCTTATTATTTTTTATTTTAATTTATCTATGAGCTCAAATGTTCCCCTTTATGCATAATACAAATAAAGGAGTTTTTTTTTCCTGTTGTGCAAGAGCTTATTTAATGCTCAGTATTTGTATCGCAGATACTGGCCAAAATTGTTCAATTGAAGTAAAACATTCAAAAATTCAATTACAGAATTAATTTAGCCATTACATTTCGGTATTCATGGATTCAGGTGTCTATACCTGCGCTAAGGGGTTAATGTGAATTGTGAATGTAGGCTACTTTTTCCCTCCAATTTCATTTGCAGAGCATTTGGCGCGTTCTGCTCCATACCCGTAACTGTTTGGGTTTAAGTTATGTTTCAAGTAGAAATACGATAAACATTATGCATCAGAATGAACATTGGATGATAATTTAAAGAATACTTTCTTCTTGGTCATTCAGTATTCTGATAAAACTGTTCTTCGGTTGAAGCCAAGCTAACGTTTCACTCTAATCTGTTCACATCATCCACTGGGAGTAAGTAAGCTAAGTGAAAGTAGAAACTTGTTTAAAATGGTATCTTACCTTTGAGGAAAATTCATAAGCGCACAGATGAAACGCAGACGGGGGGGGGCAATTGTCTCCGTCGTCTCCTTGCTGACCGCATCTTCAACAGGTAAGGCAGAATGGCGAAATGCCAGTCGGGGGGTTGAAAACTGCTATTTTAGGTTGGCTAAAGGCAGGTTGGCGAAACATCCTGTTTCAATCCCTTCAAAACAAATGCACAATTTTTCCCTTTTTGGTCTTCTGCGTATTGTTAGGTTAAGGGGGTTTTATTTTATAGATCACATTCGGAAATATTCATTTCCCAAACGGGTTCGTTCGTAAATCATTATTTTATACCACACAGATGGTGGCGGTAATACACAAATTGGTGTGCTAGTAGAAATAAAACTCTAAAGAAGAAGAAGGAAGGGTTCGTTCGTAGGGAGTAGCGAGTAGTGCGACTAGTGTGTAGGGAGAGTAGTATGTAGACCGTAGAGCGCGGTTTCGAACACGGCCATTGTCTATTCCAACAAAGGGTTGAATCTGACAGTGGTGACGTCAATGAGGATTCCTTGATGACATTGCAAGTCCATGAATGCAGAATGAAAAATGTGCTGACTGAGCAGCAGAAATATTGGAGGTTTCATGCAGAGATTTACTGAGGCATTAAAAACGCATAATAAAATATACCGTTTTAAGTGGTGGTAAATGGTTTCTTTTGTAGTTGCAAAACATGGTCTCAGGAAACGGTGCTTTCGGTAGTGAGACTTGCCCTCGCTGTTATCGTTACATTGGCAGTCAATTCAGTAGTTCTTATGCATTATCTGACATGGCAGAAGACGTGTTATGGAATTTGTTTTTGTGGCGTCACAGATGACGCACTTTGTCGGGGACGACAGCTGACACGTCTGGTGATTCTGTCATCCTTGCAGTCTGGCTCCAGTCATTTAATGGACATTAATGCATCCAGAATCTTTTCTTTGAGACTGGTCATCATTCAACATTCAACATATTTGATTCTTCCGAGATTCATTTGTTTGTGGCGTCTGAAGTGGGAATGATGAGACTTTGTTTATGTGTCTTTATTGGCCTTGATCTTCAACTTTTCATGTGCAAAATGATTTCTCCCAATGTGATTCACGACCAGGATCCAGGGAACTGCGCTGCATTTAGATAATCATAATGAGTTGTTAAACCAAGAAAGGATTCGAACTCAGACACTTGGCATTTTGCGACGATTACCATACCTGATGGTCATCATGACAATCAGCAAAAGGAAAAACTATCAGTTTTCAAATTAGACGATAAAAACCACTTTGCATTTTTAATGCCTCTCAGTATAGTTGCCATTGCCCAGATAGTATCGGAACAGGGGATGAGGGATTTTGAATATAATATGAAAGTTCTGAAAGATCTGAAGACCTAAATCCAGGAGAGGAAAAAAGTGGTCATCACAGAAATGGTTGAGAATGAAGGTACATTTAACTAGAAAATTATCGGGGGGGGGCATGTAGGTGGGCTGAATTAAAATCAGAAAATGAAATCAAAAATTTTCACTCTGTTTCCTTATCAAACATAGAAAGAAGTGTATAAAATAGTTTTATTATACCCCTGCACCCACAATAGTTTCTGCGGGGCATACTTTGCGAACAGGCTCGTTTGCTATAACATCATGTGTTAATATTGTGTAGCTCGTTGGCCATTGGTTTCATCCAGTGTGATGGTGGAAATTATGGGCGTTGACAGGCAAATCATCCTTGTTTCTTTTTCAGACATGGTTAATAAAGCACTTGGGTTCATCTGAAGGTCAGTATGTTATCTGAGTTCATGGATTTCTCCAGAACACTGGAGTACGCACGCTCAAATAATGACACCGCCTGTTGGTTGACGATTGATATGGTCATTCCAGAAGATTAGCTCATCCAGCCGGCCCTGAGCGTCCTGCAGAAGCTTCTTCATCAGGTTTTTTTGACAGATTTATGAGTTTTAGCCTCTTCTCAGCTCCACACTCATACGGCAGTTTTAAAGGCCTGGCTCAGTTCTTTCTGCTGAACTGTGATTATGGTAATACCTTGATAATAGAGTATTTTAGAATATTTTTCCAACCACACTGCCTACTAAGGCTTGCATCAAATTCCATTGCATAAGCTGTGACAATACTGGACGCCATTTTGGAAAACAAAGCGAGACTGATCGTAGATGTTCTCGCTTGTCTTCGCAAGACAGACCGTTGTTTATAACCCCTTAAGCCCGAACGCCCCCGGTACCGGGGGCGGTGGTTACACAATAATTCCAGCATGTTTCCAAATCGCAACATTGTCATGTGGCATATCCACTTTATGCGAAGGAACTTGGCAATAAGCTCATGTTGACCATTTTTACCTCAACTGAACTCAATTCAAGCACCAAGCAAGTAAATAAGCATGTAGCAAAACATAGAACAAAATCATATCAGCGCCGAGTCGCAAGAATTTCTCCTGAATTTGTGCAATGCAAACAAACGATACCTCAAATGAAAGAGGTAAGTTCACGGAATCCAACAATATATGCCCTGTCATTTTAAACCGACACCACACTCAAAGAACAGCAGGCATACACTTTACACTCTACAGAGATGAGCAAAAAAAATTCTTACCTTTGATATTTTGTAATAAAACTGTTGGAGGGTAAATCCACGCTTGCGATTGTAAGCTGAGTGTGTCCGTGTTATAACAAAACTAGATCTTCTTGTTTCCAAGCATGTTTTTCTTCTCGAGCATTGCTTCAAAGATCTCAGCCCCTCCGCATTCAGCTTGCTTGCAATGTATTTTCCTCTCTGTGATCGGCTTGTGATGCTGTCAGTAAGACTTTGCCAGTAGCCATTTGATTCTATGGGTTCTGATGTTTCCAACGAGCCCTAAACCACCTCAATCGCACAAACCTAGCCTGAAAAAGAGCCTTGCGTTCCCAGTGCGTCAAACCGAGTCCATGGGCCATTTGCATGTACTTAAATAGCACGACAGTATAAATGCTTAACTGGTTTGTTTGTGGTATTTTCGGTATAGTTATCTGCTAAATATTCAACCGTTGTTTTCAAAGTCGTTTTCTGACAGAAAACGCGTGAATACTAAGGGCACAACAGTACAAACAAGGTGAGTGACTTGTTTTCTTGACTCAGTCTTTATATGGGCAATTTGACAGCAGTGTAACAGTTAATTGATGTAGCCTAGTGGTTAGGGTGTAGGGCTGAAGCACAGGCGACCAGGGTTTGAGTCCCTGGTCAGTTGTGCTTTAGTAAGACCATGATAGCATTTTTCTTGTATAAATAATTGCTGGGGTTTTAGTTCTTTTTCCTTTTTTTCCATTTTTTAACCTTTCTTTTGTATTCATAATCTTATTAATTTGCTTTTTTAAAAATATATAAATCTGCTCCAGTGGAGCCAAACTTTTTTCTTTGTATGTATTGTCTTTGAATGGGAAATTGTATAGGCTATAGGACTGGCAGAAATAATAATTAAAAAATATTTATAAATTTTAAAAATGAAAAACTGGTTGTATTTGGGTAGAATGTATGCCTGCAGTGACATACAAGTGAATTAGATGAGTTTTACAGTTTGACCCCTGAGAAATCTGATTTGGCACACAAGGCACCTGAATAGCCAATTTGGAGAACCCACCTAGACATTCCTCTCTAATTTTGTTCTGATTTACTTGATTAGAATATACTTTGGCACAGATAATGGTGAGAGTCTGTGCTGTAAATTTTTAGAGTTTTCAGACTGCAACTAAATAATTTCACAAGGATAGAAGTACAAAACTTTGTTTGGTGCAAAATGAGATCTTTGATTTATTCTGTGTTCCATCTTCATTTACTCTGACTCAGTGACATATATACTGATTTTTACACCACAACAGAAATCCCAAATGGTTTTACCTTTATTATGATACCAAGATTATTCAAATGGATCAAATAGTTGCAGAGATATACTCATTTCATTTTGGGCTTGCCATTTTCGAAATAGAGGCTCAGGGCTTAAGAGGTTAATCGTTCAAGAGGCAAGCACTCGCAGGTTCTTGCTTGACCCCGCGATCTTGAACATGTCCCTGATCTCAATCCAACAGTGCACATTTGGGATGAGGCGGAAAGGGATATTCGCATCAAGGATGTGCAGCTGACAAATTTGCCGCAACTGCGTGATGCCATTATGTAAATGTGGACCAAAATCTTTGAGGAATGTTTCCAGCACCTTGTTGAATCGATGCCATGAAAAATTTAGGCAGTTCTGAAGGCAGAAGGGGTCCAACCTAGTACTAGCAAGGCGTACTGAATGAAGGGGCCCATGAGTGTAATATCCATATTAAATACTCTGCAATATTGTATAATTCTACCTTATATTGTTTTGAACTGTAAGCTGAATATACAAAAAAGAAAAATATACAAAAATTTGAAAATGCATTCCCTCTAATATTAGATATTGGATATTATAATATTGGAGTGCTCCCCCTATCCCACCATTGGCTGCAAGACTGACTGTTTCTTTCCCCCCCCTTGAGTGATGTGAACAGGAGTCATCCAGTCACAGAGTCTGCTGCCGCTTCTCTTGCTCAAACCAGAGAAAGTCATGTTACCTTCTCCAGGCCATGAGTGATACTGGCCAGTCCAGTATGGTGCTCCATTATGTAAGCTGAACGAAAACCACAACTGAGACTGCACGCCACTCAATCAGCACTCCCTCTTTTCCTCCCTTTTTATGGTTGAATGGAGGCGTTGCACTGGATGCAGCAAACGTAGCGTAAGTCACATGATCCCCGAAGTAACCCAGGAAGATAGCTTTGATGGAACAGGGATGCATCGATTAAATATTAATTATTTAAACAAAAAAAAATTATTCCCTTGAAAGGTCGCGTGTATAACCGGATATTGAAACCCGGTTGCTCAGGTCCAAATTATCCGCCTTATCCATGACACTAGCTCAACAGACTTTATATTCACTGGTCGATTTAGCACTTGTATAGCTGCGCGGTTTCTGAACTTGAGCGTATTGGCGCAAGGATTCTCAGTCTTAAAACGGCTTTGAAAACAACAGTTGAATATTTAGTGGTTAATTATAGGGAAAATACTAAAAAAAAAACCATTTAAGCGATTATACTGCTAACTTCTTTGAATGCATAGCATAATGGTGCAAGGACTCTCAGATAGACTGGCTAAAACAATAGCAAGCGCAGCTTTACCCACAAACAGTTTTTATATCAAAGGTAAGAAAAAATTTTGCTCATCTCTCTTGACTGTAAAGTGTATGCCTGCTGTTCTTTGAGTGTGGTGTTGGTTTAAAATGACATGGCTTATATCGTTGGATTCTGTGGACTGTTCTCTTTCATTTGACGGATTGTTTGTATGCATAGCACAGATTCAGTGGAAATGCTACCGATAGAGCACTGATATTATTTCATCCTATGTTTTGCTAGATGCTTATTTACTTGCTTGGTACTTGAATTGTGTTCGGTTTAGGTAAAAACGGTCATGAGCTTTTCGCCGAGTTTCTTCGCTTTAAGAGGATATGCCGCATGACAAGGTTGCTATTAGGAAACGTGCTGTATTTATTATGCAAATTCATTGCCCCCGGTCCCGGAGGCATTTGGGCTTCAGGTTAATATTTGTATTTAGTATATCTTTTCCACTAATTTCTTTAAATCTTCACTTTAAAAGCAGTTTTCATTGCAAAAAAGTCGTTGTCTTACTTGTGAACTTCTGGTGCGTGAAGCAGCTTCTCACGAAGTGCTCTGAGCAATGAACTGAATGTTTTGTTGATTTATAAGGCTTTCCACAGTCAATTCTTCTTAATTTAACAAGCCATTCTTTCAAAAGGGCTTCATTATTTTGTGGAAATTGATGGAAACTTATTTAGCCATATTTTCTGGACGATTGAATGGCATCATTATTGGTGCAACCAACAGCAGCACAAGATTTCCAATTCTCTCTATGCTGCGATCAATCCTTGTGTACGTTTGGCTTCGGGATCATGTAACCACATACGCAGATTGCAACAACCTCATTGTGATGGACGTGTGCCTAATGTCTGGCCTGAATAATCAACAATTATTTGCGTGAGCTCTGTCTCTGTGATACTGTGCAGTGATGTGAAGTATACTGCCCTCCCCACAGAGAGAAAGTCACGAATTACAACAGCCACACAGAAACTCAAGAGTTTCCAAAATATCACTGGAAAAAAAACACCACAGTTTCGGTGTGGCAGAGCTCTCGCTCTCGACCGCAACAGGAACCGAAACTCCAAATGAGGGGGTTTTCACAGACCAGAGGCCAATTTGCTACACTCACAAACTAACCCCTGCGCTTAGGGAACAGGCAACCCTGCTATGGAGTGCTGCTTTGTGCAGGAGAAAGCGGAGCTTGACTGGAGAGGTGGGCTTGACTGCAGCGACATGCACTAGCAGACACACTTAGATGCACCCCTGCATGCTTCAGTCAAGGGGACCAGTAAAAATCAAATAAAAATTTTGGCTCAGTAAAAATTTTCATTTTTTACAGCCTATTACAGGAAAATAAATGAGATATGCCAAACCTGATGGCAGATTAATCAATTTCAGGTAATTTTACCTATGTGCACCCATTGACAATAATTTAGGAGCACTGGAAAGTGTATCTCTATCCCTTCAAAAATGCTTACAAGTCATTGCCACATTTGCGAGCGACTAGACACCCCCTCCTTAAATTGGCAATTACTCAATTAAAAACTGGAGATGGACCTTAAGCTTTGGGATTTTTCCATTTGAAATGATGGCAAACACCCATGATTTTTTTTTTTTCAAATTTTTCTGAGACAATGCAGTGCAGACCCTGGTCCTCTTGTCATGGAATGACCCAGTTTTCTCTTTTCAGTTGCAACTATTAAGGGAAAAACTCTTTTTCAAACCAAGCCAGGCTGAGCATTGTCCAGTTCAAACACAGATCCACTGCAAAAAACCTTGAAATAGGGCTGGGCAGCAAGACAGTATATATCATGCGACGGTAGAAAAGTATCCATCGGTTAGAGATTTGGCAATAATGTTTATGCCAGGGTGAAAACAGTTTCTGCTGTGGGCGCAGATCTCTCTCTGAGTCACCGTAGTTTCGCAACCGCGACGCATGGGGGAGCCGGCACTGCAGCAGAGTGCTTGCATGACAGACTGACCACCTTCAGATGGAAAGAAACTTCACCGGTGTCATGTAAAATCTGGTCCCCCCCTGGATGTATATTAAGAACTGGATACTGAAGGAAAAATGGCCGCCCATTCATTTCAATGGAAATTGCTAAGTGGCGCAGCACTCCGACAAGGAGCCTTATTTCCGGAGTCATGCAGACATGCGCACTGTGACTTTTCGCTCACACATGCGTAGTGTGGGGCTCATGAACGCGCTGACGTCTGAGGTATCTATGACAACGGCATGCGCCCGTGGCACTCCCCCACATAGGGCAAGTGTTCACGACCAATGTTTTCTGGAAATGTAATTATGACCACCGCGAAACCCATACCACAGCTCTGTACCGAACGGGCAAACATAGCTCTCTGAGAAGGCTTAAATATAGTTTGGAAATACACATAAGAAACCCAATAGGAATATAAAATGTTTATTTAAAATGTTTGACAGGGAAGTAACACCATTTACTTTGTTGCAAAAAAAAAAAAAGTCAGCAGAACAGTTGACTAGCTGCTTTTCAACATTACATATTTCAATCTCGTTTTCCACGCAGTTCAAAGCTAATTGTATTAGTGGAACGTGAGACGTTTCGTGCTTGTTAGCTAGCAAACTCCTCAATCATTACCGGATTCATGACGATAACCTAACCACAGAGAGCACTGCACGCGCTTTATGAACTGATAAGTTTTAAATTAGACAACATTAATTTAAGTAGTTAGCCAAATCTGACTAGCAAAATCACTTTTATCTTACGTATGCTCAAAGCTCATCCATCCATTCATTCTCTATACTGCTTATTCCTCACTAGGGTCACAGGGAAGCTGGAGCCTATCCCAGCTGACTCTGGGCGAAAGGCAGGGACCCACTGCCAATCCATCGCTGGGTGCACACCCCATTCAAATACCATTCATTAAATCCATTCATTAAAACTTTTTTCATCAAACGTATGTCCACAGTATGGACACAATTTCAGTGTTTTCTACCTACCTTAACAGCAGTTTTTACTGTCTCTAAAATATTGGCCTTAGGACACATAACTGTTCTATCCTCCTATTGTTTAAGTTAACATACGCTGGAGTCCTTCCC